TTTTGGGGGTGGTGGTAGTCTTTTTTGGGAGGGGGCATTTGTTTTTTTTTTAAATAAACTAGCAGAGAATACACTGAGAACACTTCTGTACCGCTGCCTAAATAAAATGCCGCCTGTGGTACATCAGCATTATCTTTTGAAGAAAAGTGCCAGTCACGAAATTATTTGTATCTAAAGATTAAAAGAAAACTTAAGACAAATCAAACTATGTAAGCATTTGCTTAAATCCCTGTGACACCAAAAACTGAAAATTCAAAACTTCATTTTATTGGTTAAATTTGAAGTTGAGAATCTGCTTTTAAAAGTGTAATATTAAGACTCCTGCCCTAATTAAGCAAAACAACAACAACTCACTGCTACTTGGGAAACGAGTACCCTTTCTTTCATCAGCGAGACTCCTGTGGCATTAGCATTAGGTAAATGAGTAATTGCTTTACTGGATTAAGGCTGCAATACTCAGCACAATGCAGCATGCAAATGTTGATAGCCTGAGGAAAGTAAAAGCAGAACCGGCCTAAAACTTTTGGAAAATACTGTGGAAGCTTGCACTGAAAATACAAGGTGGGTCAAAAAGGAAGTTCTAGGCTGCACCCAAAACACTATTTTTAATTTTCTTTTAAATAATGAATCCTGTTGAAAGTATCTGAGCAGAACCAAAGACAGAGACTGAAGCTGTTAGCTTTTAAGGTTACATCTTCTGACACTGTCAATTACTATGGAATCTATTTCAATGGAAAAATGTATGGATTGAAGTATGGGTTTGATGATGGGATAAGTGTTGTCTACTCATATAATATCCTGGAAGATGCCAGCTGAGCTGGGGTTAAATACTGGATTAAATAACTGGCAAGAAATGACTGCTGAAGAAGCCATCTCAAATTACTAGTTCTGTGGTGTGTCTCCCACATGAAATCCCTAAAGGTCACGATGAAGGTTTCTCAAGGGATCTAAGAATACAGAACATTTACAGTGGGGTGGGGGAGAAGAAAACATGCATGCCT